CCCCCCCCCCCCCCCACACACACACACACACTTACAGAACACCCACTGGTTCAACAGACTGTTGTCCTTCCCACTTCATTCAAACTGACTAATTTTATCCATCTTAAAATAAGGTGTGTGTGTGTGTGTGTGGGGGGGGGGGGCATTGTACAAGCTACACATGGACTTACATTTAGACAAGAACACATCCAGATGGATCCGGTTGTGTAAAAACATCTGTGGAACCAGAATTTCAATTCCTGGGTATAGTTTAGTAAATGGCTAAACGTTACTTCAGTAGGCTTTCATCATTTTAATGGCACTCTACAGCCTCTACAGCCACGTGCACAATCAAGTGTGCATGAATGTAATTTACACAAACACCTGAGGTCAGAAAAATCCATTCTAAAAGGCACAAATAAAGGAAAGCCTAGTGTAAAATAATTGCCTAGCATTCTTTAAAACAGTGCATGTCGCCCACCACCTTTCAGGTCAGTTTTAGACTGACATCATCTTTTGTTGAGAAACAACAGCGTTATCACTGTGGTCAAACCTTGAAAACAACATTATGCACAGTCTCGTGCATTACTGTAATATCTTGTGTGGTCTTGCATCATCTGTTAACACGTATGTAGTGAATGACTCTCAGCTACTACCACACCACATATGAACTTATAGTATCTGAAAAACAGACTGAGGTATAGCAATTCTTGTATAGAGCTAAGGTTGATTAGCTGTGGTGGACATCTTGAGTTTAGTAGACTCCAAAGGTCATTAGCTGTAGATGTACAGCTACATTTCATTGAACTCTGTTCCGTGGTTCATGATACATTAGCAAACAACGGTTGGTGACAATGAGTTCTTGCAGCAATGAGTTTATAGAAATAATTTGCTAAAAAATCCACAAGGTTTTTTTTTATGGCCACTAGTGTGCTTCTGACCTGACACAGAATGATATGTTGGGAACAGACCACCAGCAGGTTGCATTCAAACTTCCTGCTGATTTTTTCTTTGATGTGATAGTGCATGGCAGTGGGGTCTTCTGACTTTAGCACATAGATGTGGATCTTCTCAGGAAGCTGGACCGCAAGCCGGTTTCTGTAGATGGCGATTTTCTTCACCAGTTCACGACACTTGAGCCTCACTGACAAAAGAACGAAAGGGTAAAGGAGTAAACGTTATTAACAAGTTTAAAATGCAGTTCACTAAATGCTCCAGATCTATAGTATAACCCCCACCCCTCACACCAACAAAAAATAAGTCACTGTGGTCCTAAAAGACATAAAACATACGAAGAGGCATTACAAAGCTCTTGCGTGACAATCTAAGTGACTTGTTTCTTGTACAATAGCTGCACCTTTTTGCTCGGTGATGAGGTGCTGGACAATGACATCGGTCATGCTGTCCCTGTAGGCATAACGATCCTTGTAGAGGCCATGAACTGTGCTGAAGTTTAGTTGGTAGCAGCTGATGGTCCCATCCTCGCAGCCCACCACCTAGATAAAACACAACAATGTAGCACTACATCCTATTAACACCTCTAAGAAAAGATTGAGAAAGTGGGAAAATGTTCCTGTTGTTAAAGCATCTACACTGCAGAGCTGAGAGAATCTGCCAGAAACCAATTCTCTCCTGTGTGCCTCATCACTTTCAGTTAAATATAGTGAGAGGAGAAGCTGTAAAAGTGTTACAGTAAAATAAAATAACTTGTGTATCTGTGTGGTTAAGGAGAAACTGTGTTATCACAACAGAAAAAAACTAGCACCCAGAATGTCCTGTCTGACATTTTACATCAGTACTATTCAACTAAACTGCTCAGGGGGGCCACGGTTACTGAAAGACAGCAGCTCAGGGGCCGGACATCCAGCGATTAAAGTCATTATGTAAATAAACCAGGTATTACAATGATCTGTTACATTTTAAATGTGTTTATTTTGCTGCATTGAATCATAAATACTCATAAATAATTAATTATTTATACTCATGTATTGTTAATTAATAATTATTTAAATCATAAATAATAAAGACTTGGGAACATCTTCTACCCTGAAGTTGTTAGACTCATAAATCCCTAACCAGGATTATCACTGTAATGCCACTTTAACTGGTGATATGTGACTTATTCATGCTGCTGTATTCATTCATACCCATCTGCTCACTACAGACTCATGTTCAGGCTGCTGTTTTAATACACCATATTATTTTACATTATTAGTATTTAGCATATATCTTTGACTTAGATCTTATAGCGTATTGTTTAACGTTAATTTAGCGTATATCTTAGTGTATATCTTAGAGCCTTATATACTGTTTCTTTTTATACTTTATATTTTTGCTATTTTTTGGTGTAACTGGGACCTGGAGTACACAATTTTGTTCCACCTCATGTACCACATGCGATGTGAATGACAATAAAGAACCTTGAACTTGAACTAAATGCAATAAGCATAACCCAAAAGCATAGTTCAAATGAATAGTTCTAATATGAAACTAAATTAAAAATGAAAATGATACTATTCCTCTTTTACACAAATATTATTTGGCCATCTCTGACTTGCCAGATCTTTACAATTTTCAAAAATTGTTGACTGTTTTTTTATGTTCCCTGCACGACCAACATGTTGCTGTTGGTCCATTAAGAACCAGTTCTCATTTACAGTGAAATGGCTGCACAGACCAGTTCTTCCTCCAAAAATTCATAAATCACAGGTGAAGCATCCACGTCTGCTCAGGTGTGAGCTTTGAGCAGAACCAAAGGAGGCGGAGCAAAACAGCTGGGCTGAAAGTGAGCGCAACGCGTGTTGAACATCTCCGTGTAATTTACTAAAATGAATTAACTCACTTAATCCATCCTATTTGTGGTTAACTATTTTTATAACTATAACTATACCATACCATACCATACCAATTTATTTATAAAGCACTTTAAACAGTGACAAAGCACACCAAAGTGCTGTACAGGGACAAACAGAACAAGCACATAGCAACAGATTACATAACAGGACACCAAAAAGTAGAAACCGACAAAAACAATAATGGATAACAACAACAACTGCAACATGACCAACACAGTGTGATGCACACAGACTCAGCACAGATCACACAGTGCAGAAAGCCAGGGAATAGAAGTGTGTTTTTAAGCGAGATTTAAAAACTGTGAGGGAGGGGGCCTGTCTAACCAGCAGAGGTAACTCGTTCCAAAGTCTTGGGCCTGCTACAGAGAAGGCCCTGTCACCTCTGCGCTTGAGGCGGGTTCCTGGGACTGTTAGGAGCAACTGGTCTGCTGATCTGAGAGAACATGGTGGGACATACGGCTGGAGCAGATCAGTAAGATAGGAGGGGGCAGAGCTGTTTTGTGATTTATAGACATACAAGAGTATTTTGAATTTGATTCGAAGGTGAACCGGAAGCCAGTGTAGGGAGGCCAAAACAGGTGTAATGTGCTGCCTTTTGCTTGTGCTGGTCAAAAACCGGGCTGCTGCATTTTGGACCAGTTGGAGTCTAGCTATGGAGGTCTGACTGATACCAAAAAGGAGTGAGTTGCAATAGTCGAGCCTGGATGTAATGAATGCATGAATTACTGTCTCCAGGTTATTTTTGGACAATATGGGCTTCAGCTTAGACAGTCGCCTCAGCTGGAAAAAGCAGGATTTAACAATCATATTTACATGATTGTTGAGTTTCAGAGAAGGGTCAAGTATCACTCCTAGATTAGTGACTCTTTGTTTCACTAACGGTGACAGAACGGATAGGTCGATGCAGTGGTTGGTGATTGTGTCATTGGGAGGAAACAGCATAACTTCAGATTTCTTCTCGTTGAAACGCAAGAAATTTAAAGCCATCCAATCTCTGATGTCAGCCAGGCAGTCCAGTAACGGTTGAATAGAGCAAGTACCGTTGAGTCTGAGGGGGAAGTAGATTTGGCAGTCGTCGGCGTAGAAATGAAAAGGTATGTTATGTTTCCTGAAAATAGCACCTAGTGGCAGCAGGTATAAAGAAAATAAAAGAGGACCAAGGATGGACCCTTGCGGTACCCCCCAATTAAGCGCTGCCGAGGCTGAACTAAAATCTTTGATGGAGACACAAAAGGACCCGTCAGTGAGGTAAGATCTAAACCATTTGAGGGCTGACCCAGTGATGCCCACCCACTGTTCTAACCTCGCAATGAGGATCTCGTGGTCATTTGTATCAAAGGCAGATGTGAGGTCCAGTAAGAGAAGGAGCACAGAATCACCAGCGTCTGTGAATAGGAGAATGTCGTTAAAAACCTTGAGTAGAGCAGTTTCAGTGTTGTGGAGAGGTTTAAAACCAGACTGGAATAGCTCTAAGATGGCATTATCCTCTAGAAAGCATTTCAGCTGGGACTCCACTATTTTTTCCAGCAGTTTAGCGACAAATGGGAGTCTGGAGACAGGCCGGAAGTTGGACATGACTGAGGGGTCAAGGCTAAGTTTTTTCAGGAGAGGCTGGACAGCAGCATGTTTAAAAGTTATTGGCACCACACCTGAGGCTAAGCTGCTGTTCACAATGCCAAGAACAGGAAGAAGCTCCTTAAGGAGTCGAGGGGGGACAACGTCAAAAGGGCAGCCAGATGGCTTCATGCTGCACATGACCTGCTCCAGGGAAGACAGAGAGATGGGCTCGAAGTGGTCCAGAACAGCAACACAATTAGATGGGATGGACGGATCATGAGCAGGTGGAGAAATGAGTGCCCGGGTGTTTGCAACTTTTTCAGAAAAGAAATGGAGGAAGTTTTCACACAGCTCAGTTGAGGCTTCTAGAGGTGAAGGTTCACTGAGGTGTAGAACTGAGTTCAGGGTGGAAAAAAGGGCTCGGGGGTTGTGGGAGTTTGAGGCAATTATCGCAGAAAAGAACTTCGATTTGGCGGCTTTAACTGCCTTCTGATAATGACGCCAACTCTCCTTTAGGATTTGAAAAGAAACCTGCAGCCTGTCTTTCCTCCACCTGCGTTCTGCTCTCCTACACTGCTGTCTAATGGCTTGAGTGACGTCATTAAGCCATGGTTCTGATAAAAGTTTTGTTTTCCTGGTTTTAACGGGAGCAACACGGTCCAGAATATTTAAGCAAACAGAGTTAAGCTGAGAGTTTAGCTCCTCGGTGGAGAGAGACACTGAGAGCTGAACGATCCTCTCAGAGCTAAAAGCTTCAGTAAAACGTGCAGCAGTGAAACGGTTAATGGCGCGTGAAGTACGTGCAGAATCACATGACTTAGCAATAGGACAAGGCGGGATGATATCAAACAAGACAGGCATGTGGTCTGAGAGAACGTTGTCACCGATTACCAAATTACAAACAGAGACATCACGTGTTAAAATGAGATCCAGAGTGTGACCGTGTTGTTGGGTGGGAGCATTTACATGTTGAATTAAATTAAATGAGTCTAACAAATCAAGGAAGTCCTTCACTAACGGCTTCTCCTGACAACAGACGTGAATATTAAAGTCACCAACGATAATAAAGTGATCATATCTTGGTGTGATGCAAGCCAGAAAATCAGAGAATTCACTTATGAAGTCTTTGGAACGAGGGGGGCGATAAACAATCGCACACAGAACGGGAGGGGAATGTCCGAGTTCAAAAGCACTCAGCTCAAAACTGGAGCAGGGCATGAGGGTGGACAACTGTTTACAGGAAAAGTTTGATTTAAATACAGTTAATATTCCACCACCCCGCCGACCTGATGGCCGCGGGGCATTAAAACACAGACAGCCAGGAGGTAAAAGTTCCACCAAGGCGCTTGAATCACCCAAAGGCAACCATGATTCCGTGAGAAAAAGAAAATCTAGTCCCTCGCCTTTAAAAAAGTCATTTAGAATAAAAGTCTTGTTGGCAACAGACCTTGTGTTGATGAGGCACGTCCTGATCTGGTCCGACACAGAACCAGCCATGGTGGGGGTGCTGCGCGCCAACAGTTGCAGATTTTCAAAAACAGCGCCTCCAGGACGGTCCAAGCGCCGGGCCGGTAGACAACACCCATATTTTCCCTGGTCCGAGCACGTAGGAAGCTGGCTGTGGAAACGTTGACCACGCAGAGCTTTGAGTTTTACCAGCCGGCCGGCACGTTTACCCCGGCGTCTGGATTGATATCTCCGAGAAGGTAGGCTTGGGGCCCAGCGTAAACAAGCAGGCACGTCTGCCAGAAGGGGTGGAAGGGGGGGGGGGGTCCCGAGTCACAATCAAAATGGTCCGAATCAGCGACAGCAGAAACAGACAATCGAAGATCGAGGAGCTGTTGTCGGTCATACACAAGCAGCGAGTTGATATCCCAGACAAAAAACGAAAAAAGCAGAAATAATCCAAACAGTATCGTCAGAGGTAGATTGCAGGCCATGTACACGGGCGCCATCTTACCGGAAAACTACTACAAAGTTGCTGTGAATCATCATCAATATTCCCCCAGTAATAAAGCTGTTTGTTGTAGTTTAATCAGGCTCACAGGAGATCACAGTGAAATGATCAGTTTATCAGAACTCACAGCTGGAGAGAGAAAGAGCGCGCCCACGAGAGCACGCAGCCTTTTGACTCATGTCTCTGCTCATTTAATTCTTATAATTAAACATTATGAACATCAATTAAACATTATGAACATCAAAACACAGATACTATCTGTAGGCCTCAGATTAAAGCAAAGATGTTTGTCTCATTTTAACTTTAGTTTATTTTTCCCAAAACTCACAGTCTCTCTGTGAGAGTCCCAGAGAGACTGTGTGAGCTGCAAAACATGCTGGGTAGCCTTGTAGACATTTTATGAGCAATATTTCTGACTGTTTACCATGTTTTTGAGTGTGGAACTGGGTTGTTCTTGTTAATGTCCTGTTCAGGTTTGCTTTGGCATTTATGCTGAAGTCTCTGTTATTGGCTGTAAACTGACACCGGTTAACGTCAGAGGTGTTTGGTCACATCAGAGGTCGTTCCTGGTGCATATAAGGGGGAAAGTACTGAGTGGTCAAGCAGTGAGTATCCTCACAGAAGAATGAAGTGTCAGGGTGACGCTTGGCCAGGCTAAGCATTGGCATTGAGTTGTGTAAGCCAATGCTTACAGTGAGAAGGGAGCTCTTCTCAAAGTGTACTTACAGTATGTATGCTCGTAAAAATAATGAAAATTGAGATGGATACATCACAGGATGACCTCTCTGACTGAAATATTTGCCATTTCAAATTTGTTAAAGGTCTCTCTCAGATATGTTCTGCTTTTCTTTTTTCTTCTGTTTATTAATGAACTCATCGGTGGGCCGGACTTAGCCACTAGAATAACCCTGTTTTATGTGTTTTCAATTAAATTGTTTTACAACTCATGATTTCATACATTCTTGTGAAAGAGCTGGTAATGAGAAGTTCTTATAGGTATATGAACCCACCACATAGTTGGAGTCTGGTTTAACTCGGCATGTCCACACCCAGTTACTTTGCTCTCCGATGGATCCTAATCGCACTCCGTCTTTAGTGTAGAGGGACGCCTGTCTGTCAGATCCTCCCATCACTATATACTCTCCTTTGGAGAAGTAGCTGATGCAACACGGGTCATAGTTTAGAGTTCTATCTCTTCCAATCTACATGGGACAAAAGAGAGGAGAACATTAAAAAAAGGAATAACAAGCATGTCTTGTATTTATTGCCCAGGGGCCAACACTTCCCACTGTCTGGACCACACACTTCAAAGTACTCAGTGCATTCAGCCATCCCTTTGAATCTGATGAAAAGAAAGAGTTTCTTTTGTTTTAAAAAGCATCTATTATATTAGAGTTCAAAGTCCGTTATGCAACATGATATCAGGTCACTCAGTTCTGTTCATCTGTTTTTCTTCACTGTACAAAAAAAACCTTCTTGACAATCCTTGGTTATTTTCTGTCATTGTGATTGATCCCTGATGTTGTAATCAAAACACAATATTCATTTATATCAATAGAGATGACAATGCATAAACTAAAGACTTAACAACAAAGAGATCGATGGTGCATATCTGTCTGTAATTACAGTATTGTCCAGAAGCAAACATAGAAGAGAGGGATGGTAAGGGGGTGTTAAAGCACAACAGGATCACTTCCAAAATAAGTTCTGGTTTCAGCAGACCCTGACAGTCTGATTAGAACAGGAAACAGATCCCAAACTCAAAGGGTTTCCAATACTGCACAATTCAGACAGTGTCAATTTCTTGGGGTTTTTTTCTATTAGACTTTCAAATGATGACAATAGTGAACTGGCTATCTACAGTTAGTGAAAAAAGAAGTCCACCTTCTCTCTACACTTTTACATATCAGAACTTAACAAACACAAGTGATCTGGTCTTCTTTACCAGTTTATATAAATATTTATATCTAACTTCAAGTGTACAAAAACACAACATTTTCCCCCATGCCATTATTACAAACAAAAACAAAATCAAAATAAGAAAACTGTGTGGAAAAACTAAGTCCAGCCCTGCTACTTCCATAGGATTTAGGAGGTAAAGTTGCAGCTAGACTTATTTAGCTGATCATTATCAGTGCAAGCACCTCTGTAAAAGCAGAAGTTTTGACACTTTGCTGCTCTGGAGCATGCAAGTGTGTTAGCACAATGCCATGGAGGAAAAACATCAGAAGTGATGTTAGAGTGGTAACAGTTGAGGTCCATCAATTTGGGAAGAGTTAAAGGTCGTTTCCAAACTATTTGGAGTCCATCATTCTACTGTAAGAAGAGATTTATTCACTAAGGAGAAATATTTAAGACAGCTATCAATCTTACTATGAGGGGACGTCCCAAATTCACCTCAATGTAAGAAGACCACTGGGCGGCTGTGGCAGAGTGGGTAGAGCAGTCGTCCTCCAATGCAAGAGTTGGGAGTTTGAATCCACCAGCAGTCACATCAGAAGTGTACCTGGGCAAGACGCTGAACCCCTTATTGCCTCCAATGTGTGTCCCATTGGTGTATGAATGTGACAAAGCACTGATTAGTCTCTTTAGAATGATTTGTTCAATTAGATTTGTAGAGAAATAGTAGCGTGATGTATGAATGGATAAATGAGGACACAGATTGTGTTGTAAAGCATTTTGAGGGTCTTCATAAAGATAGAAAGGTGCTGTACAAGTACAGTCCATTTACCATGAAATGCTCAGAAACATAGTAAAAAAAAAAAAACACTCAAGAGCTCTATCTCAGACTCTACAGGCATCAGTCACCAGGTTAAATTATAAACTTCATGATAGGTTTTGTTTGTTTGTTTGTGTTTCTTTCGGCTGCTCCCTGCGTTAGGGGTTGCCACAGCAAACTAAGTCACACGAAGACTTGGCAGTTATTTTTACACCGGATGTCCTTCCTGATATAACCACAGACCACCGAGCTACCACAGCCCTCTGTGTGGAGCAGAGAGCTGCTATCTAGGACACCCAGAGGAGCAGATGGTGGGGGTTAAGGGCCTTGCTCAAGGGTCCAGAGTGGGGCGAATGAGGGTGGGGACAGGTGTGGGTGCTTCGCCTACCCCACCCACATTTTTGATGTTGTCGGTACCGGGGCTTGAACCGGCGATCTTCCGATCACAGGCCCACCTTCTCTAACCTCTGCGCCACCACTCCCCTATAAACTTCATGATAGTACAATTTGAAAAAGACTGGTTAAACATGGTTTGTTTGGATGATTGCAATGTTTGGCCTCTTCTTCTAAAAAAACATAGAAACATGAGATGTTTTATAATGTTTGGCTAAAACCAAACATAGCATATCATATCAGTACAAAAAACTCAACTGTCAGCACCGTGGTGGAGTGGTGATAATTTGGGCTTGTTTTACAGCCACAAGATCTGAACAACATGCTTTAATTGAGTTGCTTATGAACGCCTCAGTAGACCAAAGTAAAGTATACTAGAGTCAAAGCTTGGTCATCCAATGGGACAGTGATCCCAAACACAGCAACACATCTACAAAGGAATGGTTGAAAAAGAAAAGAATCAAGATGTTGCAATGGAGCAGTCAGACTCCAGATCTCTGTCTGACAAAAATGCTGTGGAGGGAAATTAAGAGAGATGAGCAAAACAACTGTCTACAAACCTCAATGTGCAAAAGTAATGTTGGAAAGAAGAGTGGGCCAAAATTCCTCCACACTGTTGTGACGACAGAAAAATAGAAAACAACTACTGAGAGCTACTGCTGCTAACTTCTACGAGTTATTGAATTGTAGGGTACTTAGTTTTTCCACAAACAACTTTTCTATTTTGGCTTTGTTTTAGTTGAATAAATAATGATATAATTTGTTCTGTTGTGTTTTTGTTTAATTGAAGTTAGATTAAATACTTTTAAAATTTGATAAAGAGCATTCTGATCACCTTGATCACCACAAGATCACCTTGTGTGTGTTCCTTTGTATTGAAACTCTGGCACAACAATTTCCTGCGGGATCAATAAAGTTCTATCTTATCTTATCTTATCTTGTTTTCATTATGCCCATGCTGTTAACTCTTAAAATTGTAAGAGGTTGGACTTTCTAGTCCCCATGACTCTAAGATTTCCAAGAAATAAAGACTGCCTGTATTGAATCTTTAAAATGTCATTTGGAATTCAGAATATTTGTTTTTTAATATAAATCACACTGTTATTGTGATGCCTGAAATAAAGAAGAACAAGCTGGTTTTCAGCTCAGGCTTTTATATAAAGATTTTTTTATATTCACCTGCTTTCCACTAAGCTGGTAGAAGGAGAGCTTTTGACCCCAGTCTGCCACTGCCAGAATGTCATTGTGTTCATCCCTGTGAAATGAAAAAACTCAGTCTTAAGTGCACAGAACAAGCTTCTGAGCTGATGGAGGCTTTGGCTGTTTAAGAAAAAAAAAAGTGAATAGAAACCAGACAGGCCAACTTTCTTCCCATCTAAACCTTTTCTCCTGTAAGTGATGGTGTGTTAAAAAAGCTTTCTTTGAAAAGTTTTCATTCTGATGAATTTTAATTGCACGTCAAGACAGAGTATTGTATGAAGCGGTAAGCCTAGGTGCCTGTTCACCCTGTCCAAATGATCACAACATGCCTTATTTCACAAGAAACCAAATCCCTATCAGCTAAAAAAAAACACTTTCCTTTCACTGACAGTGCACTCTGACCTGTTTAGTGGAACGGCTGATCACAATTTATGAAGCATCCCAATGGTAACATTTCTGTTGCTTATAATCACTGCCACCTTTAACTTCTTGTATTTTAGCATTTTCCTATTGTTTTATTTTTCTTTAAATATCCAATTTGGTGGTCCAGTGTAACTGGTCCAGAATTACTGTAAGGGGAGCACAGACTTAAGACAGCTGATATTAATTTCAGCTACACTCATGTCAACTACTGCCACCTGCTGACCTCACAAAAACTCGTCACCACTACAGAAAGTGCACAAAGTTACTTTAAACTGAATGAAATCAAAAGCACAAATAGCTAATCTTCAGTACGGTGATTGTAAAAGTTTTAAATAAACAGAGCATCAATATTTCTCTTCAATAATGTGCATTAATAACTCAAAAGTAACTAACTTGGAGGGATTCCAAGCTATGGACCAAATAGGAGAGGAAGAGCCTCCTGGGCGCTCTATTTTGACCTTCTCCTCTCCATTCTTGTTCCGGATGCTCACCACCCCATTCATCATGCCAAGTGCAAGGTACTGGCCATCGTTTGTCCACCTGTGGTCAAAGCAGACACTGGTTGAAATACCATTGCATCACCAAAAAAAAACAAAAAAACAAGCACCATGGCTGCAGAAGGATGCAGAGTTAGAAACAACTTACCCACAACATGTTATTTTGCTGTTGACTTTATGTTTGCTTACAGATTTTTGTTCAGGAGACCACAGGCCTACAAAATGATGTAAAATGTTAAGTTCTCCAGGTTGCAGCTAGTGTGTTATACTGAATATTTTAAGAGCCTTGTGTTTATTTAAACATGTGGCATACTCACCAAAGTCACCAGATGAACAAGAGGCAAGCTGGTGAGTGACTGGGTTGTAGGCAACACACTGAATAGCATCATTGTGACTGTATTAGGGGAAAAAATAAATTATTCACAGAGAATGGTACAAGAACGCTGTACACAGAACATTATTCAAAGCCTAGTTGCAGACGTTGTCTTGATGGTGACAGCTTCCACTTTACATCAATGCATCAACGTAATCTCTTCAGAAATCTAAGTCACCCATAAACTCAAACCAAACCAAACATGTTCACTGTCTATCTGTCGGTCTTAGCTCAAAGAACTGAGCCATGTTCATGCACTTAGTTGATCACTGGCTTTTTTCTTACAGAATTCTGTGTTCAATAACATTTTTTTATGCAGAGTGGCCATGTTTTTAACATGCGGGGCAGCCTAAAAGCTTAAAAGTTCATCCAATAGTGATGCTCAGTCCTGGCGTCCACATCTTTTCATGCAAACCTTTATTATTTAACACACACACATTATATATATACTTTGTGTATATATATATATA